ATGAAAATCTGATTGTTTTGAGCCTTCTATTAGTCAAGAAATTCATTTAGGGTTTTCTTGGAGGTAAAAAGACAAAAATGACACTTTTTAATGTTTTCCCGTCGGCTAATTCGTAACAGCACTGTATAGGTTACTAAAATAGTCATAACTTTTTACTCAGAAATTGGATTGACGCGAAATTGACGGCGTTGGAAAGTAGATTCAAATACCTTTAATTCGATAACTTATGGCTCACGTAAATCTTTATATTCTAAGAGATATGGTCGTTCGAAGTTGACCCAAGTAGAATCTTATATCAAAACTTAATCGATAAGAAAGCTTCAAGAACACTTATCAAGAACTTATCAAAAACTTTAATCCTTAAATTTCAAGAACGAAATTACGATGAATATATCATGATTGACGTGTGGGTGAACGAACCCAACACTATGGAAGCTTACATACCTCAAGGAACTAGGTTCTTGGTGAAATCTTGAATTTCATGAACGAACGCTTGAAACTTTGAACTTTTTCTCCTCTTGAATCTTCTCTCTAAATCCATAAACGCTTTTGGGGATTAATGAAACTAATTCTAAATAGCTTAGACTCCTAAAACCTTACTAAAAACGGTTAAATCCGATTGGGTAAGGAAAAGACCAAAATACCCCTCATATTTTCGGGTAACTTTTCTTAATTGGACAACCTGACTTCAAAAGGGCATATCTCACTCATCCGACCTCGAAACTGAGCAAACTTGGTGGCGTTTGAAAGATAATTCAAAGATATTTCCTACGGTATCCTATTAGCACACCTAATTCATCATGTGCTAGGAGTTATGGTCGTTTGAAGTTGACCCAAAACTCATACTTTGCTTAACTTGCCAAATTGCAGATTTTGCTATTTCTAATTTAGTTCTTTTTGGAACTCGAGGTGCTACGTCTAGTGACCTTAACACTGAGGAAATTTTAAATTCCTTAGTAAAATCCTACTCACAACGAAGGATGGTTCGAGTCTCAGTATGAAAAAATTTCTGGGGTTTTACAGCAACAATGTTACGAAAACATGATAATCTGAGTAAGAACACTATAACAGCTAAATCACAACAATTCTCCAAAGTTCAAGAAACCCTACAACTAAACAATATGTAGAGAATCAAGAATCTGACTGAATTCTAGGGACCCAGTGGATGAAAAGAACCCACTAGTGAAATCCCACATACCTAGTGAAATCTTTCGATTTCGGGGATAGAATTGAAGAAAATTGGCTGCGTTCTTAGAAGGGTTTGGGTCGCCTCTTTCCTTTTCTTTTCGTTCTAAGTTTGATGAATTTGGTGAATGAAATGCTTAGGGTAAGTTCTGACTAAGTTACTAGGCTTAAACTGACCAAAACTACGTAGTTTAAGGGTCCAACGCATAGGGGAAAAGACCAAAATGACCCCACTTAAAATCTGACAGGGCCTTTCTATGGAGCCACTGGCAGACTGTCGTTGGGACCATGGCCCGTCAAGTGGGTCGTAGTTGTGGCCATGGTCTACTGCACTGTTCTGAGAGGCCCCTCTACAGTCCACTTCACAGACCGTGTAGAGGACCACGGACCGTGAAAGTCACAGTGGTTCTCCATTTGGGGATGGGGTCTACTGGTCCTGGATGACAGACCCCTCCACAGCCCGTCATTGGGACCACGTCCCGTGACCCCTTAGCCCTGATGACATTGCCTGACTTTCATGAGCCTCCCCACGGCTCGTGGGGTGGTCCACAGCCTGTGAAGGGTCCCGTGGTCCACCATTTCTTGGTGGGTGTGAACCAGGGAAAGGTCGATGGACCGTGGTTCCTTTCACAGTCCGTGAACCCTGTCGTGGTTCACCTATTTTTCTGTTGTTCTAGTCTGATAAGTTCTAAGGTGTTACAATTGTATCATCAAAACGATATAATATAATACAACACAACACAATATAATACAATATATTATGAAATCATATGCATTACTAACCATCGAAACATAAATTCAAAATATATAAAACCACTCATATTGTTGACACCCAATTTTGACCCTTCTTTCTTCTAATTTATTGTTTTCGAGCTTCTAATTTGATAACATGTCAAATTATCTTTTTCACAACTATTTTTAATATTACACCTATTTATCTACTAAAATTATAGGTTTTATTATCGATATGATTATTATCACTTTTACACGTCTTTTCTTAAATAGTCGATTGTCGTCATTTTATTTCAAATTTGTATTTATTAAATTAAGTATAAATCCATTTTCTTGTATCTATATTTTATATTAGCGTAAAGTCGTAATATATTTTTCTTTTATAAACTAGTAATTGTCATCTTATAATAAATGTTGTATTAGTTAAAGCCCAAAACCTACCTGAGAAGCCCAAATTTGCTCTTAACATTCAGCCCAAACTTAAAGCTAATCAATCTGACCTATCCAGGCAACGGTACTCTCTCCGAAACAATGCTAATCACGCTTTTTCCACTTCCGGATAGAAGATTCATCATTCTCAGCCATGGACAGAGCTTGAACCACTGCATTTTTTCCATAAAAAATATCTTTTATACTCTCTTTCGATCTCGCCGGAAATTCTATTCTCAAACTTGTTCGGGTTCGTCATTGTTCGAATATAGACACTTGATCGCAGCAGCCCCGTTCACTGCCCTATAGCAGGTAAATTCACTCCCTGTTCTCTCTGTTTTCTTTGTTACTATATTAAAATGCTACATATGTCGTAGTAATCCCTGCTCATTTTAGCTATAATAAGAATAACGTTTCATATGTGTTTCGGTTTAGTTCAAGACTCGTAATAATCGAAAGTCTTCCCTCTTTCATGATATGAATTTTTGTTAAGCTTATTTCATGTTATATTTCCTTTTAGCAGACATGTATGTATTATGTATGTGTTTCTTTTCAAATTGTAAGTAATGGTATATTGAAATCTCAAATCTTGTTTGATGTCATATCTCTTTAGATAATGATAATCTCCTTATAGTTAATATTAATGGGTTGATTTCATATCTTATTAGAAAGATAAATCATGTTTTTGCAAATAATTCTACTTAGTTTAGTCATAATGGCAATGAATTATTTTCGAGATTTTTTTTGGCGTATTAGACAACTTGATAATATTACTTGAAATCAGTTTTCTTGTTAGTTAATGTCCCTCTGACATCTTTTGTATGATAAAATTTTCTAGCCTGTGTTTTTCTTACTTTAAAAATATGCTAAAAAGAGTTGATATTTGTTGCTGATTATTTTTAGAAATGATATGCAGGTTATTTTTAATTTTCTTTATGTATTTATTTTATTTATTTATTTTTGTTAGAGTAAGAAATATCATGATCCTTGGCATGTTATCTAAGATTCCTATATTATCTCTATGTGCACAAAATATAGATTTTAAATTCTTTTGCTTAATTCATTAATTAGTACAGTTGGATGTTTTGATTTTCTTCCAAGTGTTTCGTAAGGGCTACTTAAAAATGCCTTAATATCTTAGTTTGAGTTTTCCGTTCGGCATTAGCACGCTTTATATGTTAAGTATTATATTTGATGTATAATGTTACTTAATTAGTACTATAATATCGCTTAAAGTCGAAGGCCTTACTAATTCATTTTATCTTCTCTTTATTTGCATGAATTCTTTGGAACAAAAATGGAGTCCCAATTAAGGACTCTCGCAAAATCAAGTCTCATAGACTTAACATTATCCTCACACCCGCACATGGAGTCTTCACTACCTCTTTGACCATTCAAAATTGCAAGCAAAGCAAGTGGTCCTATCTTGGAGTCACTTATGGCTACTCACATTTTCGCATTATTTGTTTACGCGATTTTCTTTACATGTTATCCTTGCTTGTGTGATTTAGATATTTCTAGTTTGGATTCATAATAGTTGACTTAACATAGATGTTTGAGTTTGGATACCTTTAGTTAGAAACAAACCTTTATAGTTACTTTAGCTTTTATGAACTTCATTTGACAAACTTTTTTTTAAACACATCTTTTGCACCACTTTAAACTCACTAATTTATAAAGTTTTGTTCAAACTTGATAGTGTATTTTTTTTAAAAAAAAAAAAGTTCTAAACTCCTATCTTTCTAAAAAAAAAATATATACTTTTCTAAAGGAAACACTTTGTCAATAAATGAAAGCAAATACCTTTTTTTTAATTACCTTTCTTTTAGCCATTGGATTACTAAATTTGTCTAAATTCACCAAGACGAGTTACTTTTTCTTAAATCTTTATCATTCTATTACAATTACAAAAGAGCTTTCACAATTAAAAAAATGTTTCCAATTTGATTATTCAATCACTTAATCTTTAGCACTCATATCATTATTTTAAAATTAATTAACCTAAGTTTGGTCGGTTAACTGTTTTTTTTACGGATCTTAAAGGATGTTTTACCCCTTCCCTTTAGGATAACTAGAACCCTTACCTAGAATCATGCAAGTTAAGTAGACCATTTAATTGAAGTCATTTTATTATTAGCTAGTTAAATATTTAGGTGTCCTAATTCACCATAATTAATTAGGTGGCGACTTCTTAAGTTAATTAATTTGGAAATCACCAATATGTTGTACGCCATTTGGATCTCGAGTTAAAATGGGGTATAACCAGGGGCGAATTTATGTACTAATTTTGGGTCACCCGAACCCGTGGTCATCCGACTAAACTCGATATATTACTTCTATAATTATTAAAGAATATATTAAATTAAAACTTGTTGAACCCGTTCTCAAAATGGCTGGATGGTTCACTGGTACCACTGCAAGATTTCAACTCACAGGTCGCAGGTTCGATCCCAGGCAGCCCCAATTCGGTGGTAATGTAATTTTTATGTATTGCTCGCTTAGTTATTGTTATTATAAATTTTTTGATAGTATCTTTAAAGCAATGGTGCACCCGTTTTCTTAAAATCCTGAATTCGCCTCTGGGTATAACACATATATTTTTTAATAAAAATAATACAGTACAATACATTACAATACAACGCAACACAATACAATACGTTATGTAATCATATGCAATAACCATTCAAATATAAATTTTCAACCACCCATACATACGATACATTTTATTCATAAAGAAAATACACATATATAAATTTTCATACCCTACAAAAATTTTAAAGACCACAATAATTCTTGAGATTAATTCCATTTTTATCACCTGACATAGTTTATTTATGAAATTCAAGCAAGTTAAAAGGCTTGAAGAGTAAAGGGTGGTCTTCATCCACTAATTCTTTTGGGGTCCTTCACAGTATAATCTGGATGTGGTATGGAAAATAATTGAATAGATAATCTATCTTTGTCTCCTGTTGGTACTACTCTGTGTTCAGCAGATGTCAAACTATTATTTGTCCATGCCTGTATAAATCCACAACATCGACACATAAAAAGCATTAGTGATTTCTTTCACAGAGAAAGGGCAGCACCTCAAGGGGATGTTAGGAAAACAATCTAATCTAATAGAAAATATTAGTGATTTTTTCTCGATCAAGCCCGCATCGTAATCTATATATCACATACAAACAATCTTATCGTTACTTCAAAACTGCTCTGATCTTAGCTTCTAGTTGGGCTTAAATAATCAACCATACAAAAAAAATCTCTATTTCTTT